CAAGAGAAAGCACGGGTTACAGCGGGAGAAAAGAGGAGAACGAGAGGGAGAGAAAGTCCTTCAGGGTCACCAGGCCTTTTTTTCCTTTGTGTGGGTCCTACTGACACGACATGTGGTGACAGGGATAGCTCCACGCTGGGCGCCTATCCACCGATGATGCCATGCCCTGGCGTTGTCAGTGGGTCATGACGTCCCACTCTACCCCGGTGGGCGGCGCGGCGAACCAGCGTGCTGATCAGCGGCCATACAGGGAGTAGACAGCATAGTGACAACACGTTCATCACTATGGGCGATGTGAGTTCCCTGGAATGACATGTCGTGGGGACGGGTCATGTTGAGACATGACCGCTCCCCGCACGATGCCAGAAGTTTGACCTTGGGTTGTACTTTCTGGCCCGTAGTGGTTGGCGGCGGCGTGAGCTTCCGTTAGGAGCCGTGCCCGAGGGATCGGGCGAGGTGGAGCCCATCCTCAGACATCGGGTGAGGCGGAGCCCGCCCTCGGGGGTCGAGCAAAGCGGAGCCCACCCTTAGAGGTCGGGCGAGACAGAGCCCGCGGCCTCGGTGTCGAGCGAGGCAGAGCCCGCCCTTAGAGGTTAGGCGAGGTGGAGCCCACGGCCTCGAGGGTGGCGAGACGGAGCTCACCCTTAGAGGTTGGGCGAGGCGGAGCCCGTGGCCTCGGTGTCGGGCGAGGCAGAGCCCAACCTTAGAGGTCGGGCGAGGAGGAGCCCGTGGCCTCGGTGTCGGACGAGGCGGAGCCTGTCCCAGAGGTCGGGCGAGGCGGAGCCCGCCCCTAGAGGTAGGGTGAGGCGGATCGCATGACCTTGGGGTTGGATAAGGCGGAGCCCACGGCCAGAGGTCGGGCGAGGCAGAGCCCGCAGCCTCGGTGTCGGTTGGAGCTGTAGTCGCACCCTTGACTGCCTGGATGGACTAACGTATAAGGATCATTAGCTCCTCCTCTTCGGGTACCCTAGTACTGATCCCCGACAGATGCTAAGGCCATGTTTACGAGAGCTTCTCTGAGTCTTGCTTATAAGCTGAGCAGGCTTATCTGATAAGTCACGATCTGGAGAATCTGCTGTTTGAATAAGCTGGGCGTTTGGCTGTTCTGATTATTTCTGGTAGATTGACTGTCCTGGATACAAAATGACCTATGTACCCTTGTGGTCGATGATCTGAAGGCAATGATGACAATATTTGTAAAGTTTAAGAGAGAAATATGGTTCATTAAGATCCATTGTACAATAATAGTCCAAAATAATACCCATTTGATTAATGTAATTGCTACAAAATACTCAAGTTCCTAACGATATATCACCCAACCAAAGTAGAAGCAATAGCATTATGGAATGCGCCCATATCCATATCATCCGCCAAAACAGTACCATCAGCTGTAGGAACTTGGGACCCAACACCACTACCATCTTCCACATAGGTTTTGAAATGTTCATCATTTATATCATTGTCTCTAATGAAATTATGGAGAGCCATGCAAGCAAAGATAATCATTGATTGCTTCTCAATTGGATAGCCAGGTAACTGCAAGAGAATGCATCACTTCATCCTGAGAACTCCAAATGACCACTCAATCACATTTCGGAGGGATGCATGAGTCGCCCACATCTATTTCTCACGCCGCCCTCGTCGCCTACATCGACCACAAAGGGTGGGGCTGCTCATTTGCGCACGCGGCGCACCACCTCGTGCTCTCGCGTGCCCTGCGTCGTAGTGCGCCCGCCGGGGCGAAGGAGGTGTTGGTCCGCATGTTGTCTCATGGACGCTGTCGCCTGTCGAGGAGCATCAGTGTGGGATGCTATCGAGGAGTGGCGCTATCGAGAAGCTTCGTGCAGACACTGTCTTGGAGCGCTACTGGATTATCGTTGAGGATTACTACCCCGGCCTGCTATCGAGGGCTACAACGATGTGGCATGCAGTGTACGGCGGAGCGGGAGGGCGGTGATGGTGTGCGAGTGCGATGCATGGCGCATTGCGCGGGAGGGCGGCGGCGTGTGGTAAGTGGAAGGGTTACGGTGGCTCGGCTTTGACTAGTGAACGCGAAGCTTGATCCTGAGAATCGAGAATAACTTTTTTGAACCGTCGGATGGTGTCTATACGTCAGATGTGGGCATAGAAGTCACGCCGTGACTACTCTCTAATGGTAGTGACAATGAAGGAACAACAAATTTAAAACTAATGGCAACGAAGGAAACACATAATTTTCAATAGCAGTGAGGAGATTGTTATAAACTTTAGTGATACTGTAGGAATTTTCTCGATTCTGTGGAACTGGTGTCCATCAATCCATGCCTACGCCCGTACGTACGCCGTACACGACATCCGTCACTGCCACGTGTCCATGCTGCCAAACGGAGCGCGTGTTCAGTTCCACCCTAAAATCTCAAAAAATGCTACAGTACCTGTCACATCGAATGTTTACGGTCTGTGCATGGAGCATTAAATGTAGATGAAAAAAAACTAATTGCACAGTTTGGTGGGAAATTGCGAGACGAACGTCTTGAATCTAATTAGTCCATGTTTGAACACTAACTGTCAAATAAAAACAAACGTGCTACAATAACCCCAAATTCCAAAGTTCCTGTAACTAAACATGGCCAGAATCCAACGTGGAGACGCAACGACAGCTTGAAGCTCCTCAGCGGATCAGCTCGTTTTGCTCGATGGCTCGGGTCGGCCTGGCCCGGCCCGGACGTGTACATCGTTTTGCTCGATCGGGTCGCAGCTCTTCGACGCGCGTCTCAAGATGTACAGCAAGCCCGCGGTCCAGTGGCCCTGCACCAAGCCCAGATTTTTGGCCCAGCCAAAGCAAAAGCAGGACTTGCCCGGGCCAGCACAGACCGATAGTCTTGGGCTGGCGTCGCGTGGCCCAGCAACAGGGCGGACGGGCGACCGCTTCCGAAACGAAAGGATTTTCTCGATTTTCTTCCCGTAGTCCAGTCCACCTGTCTCTCTAAGCTGAGTCCGAACGTACCTGAGGCAAGTCACAACGTAACTTACCTTCAGCATCCAGCCATTGAAATCAGATCCAATGGTTCAAACCAGATCCAGCCTTTCAGCAATCATTCAGACATAGGTAAACGTAAACAGGAGCAAAGCAGTTCAGTCAAACAGATACATAGCAGCTCATTGCATTTTTAAAGCTAATCCAGTGCTTACAAATTAGCTAATCCATCGGCTAATCAAGTGCATCCGCTTATCAATTAAGTGACATAACTCAATCAAGTGCTTACAAAGCTTCCATCAACTACTTACAACAGTTGCTGCTCCAACGTTCTGACATTTAGCCCGTGTTTAGTCGGTGAAAAGTTGAGAATTTGGCTACTGTAGCACTTTCGTTTTTATTTGGCAATTAGTGTTCAATCATGGACTAATTAGGCTTAAAACGTTCGTCTCGCAATTTTCAACAAAACTGTGTAATTAGTTTTTTTTCGTCTACATTTAATGCTCCATGCACATATCGCAAGATTCGATGTGATAGGTACTGTAGCATTTTTTAGAAAAAAATTTCGCGAACTAAACACAAGGGCTTAGAGAGAAGTCCACTTGATTACTGTGATGTACTACTCCACGAAATACTATACTTAGGCCTTGTTTAGTTCTCAACCAAATTCCCAAAAAATGCTATAGTAGCCATCACATCGAATCTTGCGATACGTGCATAGAGCATTAAATATAGACGAAAAAAAAACTAATTACACAGTTTGGTTGGAAATTGCGAGACGAACGTTTTAAGTCTAATTAATCCATAATCGAACACTAATTACCAAATAAAAACGAAAGTTCTATAGTAGCCAAATTCCCAAAATTCCCCAACTAAACAAGGCCCTAGCTCGCAAAATACTATAGTTAGGCCCAGTTTGGTTTTCATAAGTCAGGTGACTAAAAATCAGTGACTTATAAGTCATGTCTGTTTGGTTGTAAATGACTTATAAGCTCATTAAAGGTGTGGGCTCCATGCGAAAAAGAGTGACTTATAAGTTTTAAGCAAGGATGAACCAACTTAAAACTTATAAGCAGGGGTGACTTATAAGTTGGTGGCGTTTGATAAAATAAATCATTTTTTTCACTTTTTAACTTATAAGTAGATGACTTATTTGGAACAAACAACCCCTTAGCCTGTCCAAAATACTATACTTAGCCGGTGGGAGGCTGGAGGTGACGCGCGAGGAGGCCGGCGGCGGCGCGGGAGGCCCCCGGCGACGCGCCAGTCCAGGGTCACGGGCACGTGGGAGGCCGGCGGCCACGCGCGAGGCCATCGGGTAATAAGTTACTGAATCTCTGTCCGCCGAGTCCGTTCTCCACGAGCGCTCCACTCCTCGCACCCGACTCAGCCGCCCAGATCCCCAGCCCGCCTCTCCCTCGGTGGCAATTCCTCGCCGGGGTCGTGCCCTCCCCTTCCTTCATCCCCTCCTCAGGTACCACTCTCTCCTAGTCTCTTCCCTTCACTTACTCTCTCGTGGTCTGGGGTCCCGTGTCCTTGCGCCGATTAGGCGGATTCCGAGCGCCGGGTCTCATGATTCGGGAGGCGCGGGTGCGATTTTAGCAAGAGATCAGTTATCCAGTTTTGCTGCGATTTTAGGGTTCGACGCGCGACGATACGTGATTGGTCGCTCTGACTTGATTTCGGCCTTTTGGGGCGCACCTAATATTTGTGGAGTCTAATGGTTGTATATGCATCCCTAGTCGGCGCAGATTCCTTAGTTTAGGCTTGCTTAATCTTAGAAAAACGGTGCCAGTGAAGTTATGTTTAAGTGAAGAGATAAACTCGATTGGATAAGCTAATTGACATACCAAGAGTGCCATATGCACCCTCTTATAGATTAATAGATACGTGCTGTTCAGAGGGCAAAAGGTCTATTTATGCTGTTTTCTATGTGTGCATCTGCTGGAAACCAATCCGTACTTAAGTGACTTGTGCCTTCTAACAGATTTTTCATGTCTGTGGCTAGAACCTATGGATGGACAGGTAGAGAACTTTGTGGGGCATGAAGAAGGTGGATTGCCTCAAGTTCCTTAAGACGGAGAGCAGCCAAACCCGTATGATGATGTCGCGAAGCAGTACAGTGAAGAGCTAGGTGACCAGTACAACGAGCAACCTGGTGCCTGATTTGATGAAGGGTCTGGGAATCCGTATAACGAAGAGCAAGCAGACTTGTACAGTGAGGAAACTGGCAATCAGTACAATGAGGACCCAGCAAATTCTTACCAGGAAGAGCTGGAGAATGCATTCAGTGGGGACCCGGACATGGCCCAACAGGACAACTCGCAGGTCAACAATGTTGACGATAACAAATGGCCTGGATGGCCAGGAGAGAGTGTTTTCCGTATACTGGTTCCAGCTCAGAAGGTCGGAGCTATCATTGGCCACAAAGGGGAGTTTATCAAGAAGATGTGCGAGGAGACTAAAGCGCGCATCAAAATACTTGATGGCCCACCTGGTGTACCAGAAAGAGCAGTAAGTGCCTTTATGAAATTTGTATTTGATATAAGTTAGTAATCTCATTGGTTCAAACTAGCATATGTGCCACTCGGTGTGCAGGTCCACCCATGAAGTTCACTTTGTTTTATTTCATGACGCGTGTTTGGTACTAGCTGGTCTGCTAGGAACATCTTATGTAGATCTAGATACTCTACCTCCTACTCAGTCCACTCCACATATGAGCACTGGAGCTGGTCTATGCTGCTGCTCGTTTCAACATAAAACATCATTATATCAGGGGAAACAGATAAGATGGACTGTTTGTCCAACAGCTGAACTTTAGTTACTGAATCTTGAAGCAGCTTTGTTTCGGTTTTCCTAAAATCTAGGAATATTTTGTTTTATTTTAGTTGAGGGTTTGCAATGGGTCCTGAAACTGGTAATATTTTCCTTAGCTAGTGTGGGTTTTGAATCTTGTATCAAATGCACATTATAAGTTATATAATATAATAACTCGACATCTTTGTGTAAGGAACATGTCAATTTTTCTTTATGGCTCCTAGTTGGGATCATCCTTTCTTCACAACTTCAACTTAATAAATGTGCCACAACTCAGTGTAAGAATTAAGAAGCATAGTTAATATCCTGACAACACTGAGAAAGTTAAACAGTGAAGTTCTGCACACTAAAACTGACTTAAAAAAGTGACTGTCCACCAAAGGCCAAAATTGGGAAGCTTTGATAATATAACACATATTAATGTTTGCAGGTTGTGACTGCAGTCTAAGGCCCCAAACCAAACAACGTTTCCAAAATGGTTGATCGGACATGGTTCTGAAAGTCCAGTTTTGTGCTCCCGTGCTGCAAATATGAATAGGTCATTTGATTATTGGATGAAGATCTCTTTCAAGATGCTCCTTAAACTATCTGGTAATTTCATTACCTTTTTTATTTTTAACTAAAGGAATAACTAAAGGGAAGAGGTAAAAGGATAAAAATGTACCAAGTTGTCTGCATGCAAATGAATATTTTAAAATTCATCTGCATGATGACATAGGTATTGAATTTGATTTTTGGATGAAGATCTCTTTCAAGCTGTTCCATAAACTATCTGTTAATTTCATGACCTTTTTATTTTTTTTACTAAAGGAAATAACTAAAGGGAAGAGGTAAAAGGATAAAAAATGTACCAAGTTGTCTACATGCAAATGAATATACTACATGCACTACGTAATTTAAAAATTCATCTGCATGATGACATAGGTATTGAATTTTTCTCACAAAGTATACAAATACATACATTCGGAGAAGTATAACTCTTTGTTATATTGTGCTTTGGAAGATCAAGTGTTTGCTTAAGAAAAAATAAATAAATATCATGCTATTTACATGATCAGCAAGTGAGTAAAAGAGAAAAATGTACCTATTCTTTCATCATTGGACATTAGTGAATTCCAAACAAAAAAAGGTCGATGCATTTAATAAAATATGAAACAATAACTATTGGTGAAGGATATCACGTTTGATAAATAAGGTTACTAAGTGAATAACAAAAGAAAAACAACTCTTCTGATCGGTCATACTTGAATGCTTCACCAGTATTGATTAAATGTGTAGGATCATAGGATGGAATGCTCTACTGAACTTGTTTCAAAAAAAAAAAAAATGCTCTACTGAACTTTGGAAGTTCTCATTTGTGCTGGCATTTCAGCATCGGATGCATTTGTTGTTGTGTGCTTGAGCAACAATTACTATTGTAGTATGAATAAAGTAAAGTTAAGCTTAAGTAGAATGTTCATATGACTATATTTTAGAATTACTATTTTATGCGGTTCATGTGGAAAATGTATATGTCGTTATTAAACCATACTGTTGTAAAACCATAGTTTATTTCTTTTGTGAAGAGAGGCATCATTTAACTTTGCTAGTAGGGTGTATATAGAATCTCTTGATTACAAGTAACCCAAATAGGAAAGTTTTGGCAATTAGAAATTTTGAAGTTGACCTAATCAAACTCACTTATGGCACTGACCATTCATTATACTTGTTCCAGACGCACATATTTTTGTGAATGCTAGTGTCATCATACCTTATGCCGTTCATTGAGCTCATCTAGGTCTAATCATTAAGCAATACTAATGTTTTGCGCTGTCAGCTCCTTTTAACTATTAATTCATTTGGTGAATTTGTCACTTTCACCTTTGAAGGTAATGATTTCAGCAAAGGATGAACCAGAGGCACCTCTCTCTCCAGCTGTGGATGGCTTACTTAGAGTTCATAAAAGAATAACTGATAGTTCAGATGGTGAATCTGGTCGGCCTCAACGAAGTGCTGGTAATATAGGACCAACACGACTTCTAGTGCCATCTTCGCAAGCTGGCAGCCTTATTGGCAAGCAGGGAGCAACTATTAAATCAATACAAGATTCTTCTAAGTCCGTTGTCCGTATTGTTGGTAAGTTTCGTCACGTTTCTTCTATGCTATATATGCTGGATCTATCCCTCTTTGATATGTTGCATGAGTTCCATCCTTAGCTGTGTGTTGTGATCTGCAGCTTGGTTAATGACCATTAGGAAATTATGATACTACTTCCCTTTGCTATCCACATAAATAAATGCGTCTTATTTGGTTCTTCAATGTGTAATCTAGTCTGTTTAACTGATTTCTATGGATCCATGCCAAGCACCAACCTGTTCGGCATTAAAGAAAAATACTCTTCTGAGCTGGACATTTAGATGTAAACTGTGGAATCTAGTCTGTTTAACTGATTTACCATGAAACTTGGAAACTAAATGATGTTATAGTTCTTTTTTAAATAAAAAACAATGAGAAAAAAGAGTTTGTTGGTGATGCTTTGACATGTGTTGTTATAAAGGACCTAAAAGTTCGTTGATCTACTGGTTATGTTTTTAGAGAACAATGTTACACATACAGGCATTTTTTTTAAAGATTTACTGATTTGTATTGCAGAAAATATAACTACACACATACTACAATATAATTAAACTTTTACCTTCTGCCTTTGTTCACTGTGCTGATTATCATAGGATTTATCTTTAGTCATGTTTTTTTCTACTCCATACCCGGGTGAAAATCTTCTCTCCGGCACCGGATTTTTTTGCTTTCCTTTTCTTCCCCTTTCTTCTTCCCAAATAGCATGCATGGAAGGAAATAAGCATGTATGGAACGGAATAAAACTAAGATTCGGGTGAAAATCTTCTCTTCCACATCACAATTTTAGTTAATGTCAACTTATGGACACTCAACTTGTGCTAGAGTTATGCTGATTATTTTGGTGTAATTTCTAGGTAGAATTGGTTTCACTATAAATTCGGGTGAATATCTTCTCTCCCATACCCCATTTTAGTTGCTGTCAACTTGTGCTAGATTAACACTTTCATTACTAGAGTTACAGTGATTATTTTAGTGTAATTTCTAGGTAGAATTGGCGTAAACTAAAAATTCGGGTGTGGGAATATATATATTTCACCCTATTCTTACAACACCTTTAATCTGGGTGTGGAACTCTTGCTCGTAAAATTTGGGTGTAGGAAGCAAAATTTTCACCTGGGCATGATATAGCAAAACTGTTAATCATTTGTTTGTATATTTGTACTGGTATGTTGTTATCCTCCAAGGGTGCAAACTTCTAATTCGAGGTTTTGTACTTTTGTTCAGAGAATGTGCCTCCTGTTGCACTACATGATGATAGAGTTGTGGAGATACAAGGCAAGCCTCTTGGTGTCCAAAAAGCAGTGGAATTAATAGCGAGTCACTTAAGAAAATTTCTTGTTGACCGCAGTGTTCTTCCATTGTTTGAAACACATGTAAGTTTTTTTGTTTATTTTGGCATGTTGTATTTGTCAGTAATAGTGTTTTGCATGCAGTGTGTGACAATGTAAATTTTAATCTCTGCAGATGAAAATGCATGGTATGCCGAGGGAGCAACCAGTGCCACCTCTCCAGCATTGGGGCCCTCAAACCTGGGGCCCTCCTCCGAACATTCCTCCAGGTGGTCCTGGTTTTGGAGGAAATCCACAGTTCATGCCTCCAAGGCCGCAAGACAGTTATTATCCTCCTGATGCCCCCCCTATGGAAAAGCAGCCGCACTATGGTATTTCTGCATATGGTAGGGAGGCCCCACCAAGTGGTGCTTCTGCTGCAGGGATTCAACCACCCTCTATTGCAGGTTCTCAGGTAAGGCCCCGTTTAGTTCCAAGCCAAAAACAAAAAAATTTCAAGATTCCCCGTCACATCAAATCTTGCGGCACATGCATGGAGTACTAAATGTAGACGAAAAAAAAACTAATTACACAGTTAGCCGAGAAATCGTGAGACGAATCTTTTAAGCCTAAATAGTCTATAATTGGACAATTTTTGTCAAATAAAAACGAAAGTGCTACAGTATCCAAAAGCCAAAAATTTTCGGAACTAAACGGGGCCTAAGTTCTATTGCACTTAAGATGGTTTGTGCTTTCATTTGGTTGGTGTGCCAAGCTGGTACTGATTTTTATGTATTTTTGAAAGGTGACTCATAACATGCACATTCCCCTTGCCTATGCTGATGCTGTGATTGGGGCAGCTGGTGCTAGTATCAATTATATCCGTAGACACAGTGGCGCAACAGTAACTATTCAAGAAAGCAGAGGTGCACCTGGAGAGATGACTGTGGAGATAATTGGGACTGCAGCCCAAGTTCAAACTGCTGAGCAACTGATCCAGGTACCTTTTTCTGCCGTGCATTGCACGTGTCATAAATTTCGTCAGCTAATTCGGATTGTGCTCTTTAGTTCTAGAATTTGCTCACGTGATGCTAATCTGACCTTTTACCTTGATGGTTGTCAGCTAATTCGGATTGCCAGCTAATATATTGCACCATCTCTTTTAACCAAAACATATTTCACCTTTCGATGGCCCCCTTGCTGTTAGCTAATAATGTGACCTTTTACTTTGCAGAATTTCATGGCAGAGGCTGCTCCCCCAGGCCCGCCGCCAGCTTCTAACCCTCCCGCTCCACCAGCTGATCCGAGCTATGGCTCTTACCCACCACCATATGGAGCAGCTCCTTCGGCGGCTGCCAGGCCTCATCCGCAGCACAATGGTGGGAGCTACGGTGGCCCGACCTACCCTCCCAGCTATGGTTATTAGTATTCATTCAAGTAGTAGCAAACCGAGGATTTGTCCTCTTTTCTTTCCTGAAGGATCTGTCCTCACGGTGTCTTTTTCCTGGTCTGATGGTAAGGATTTAGTTGCCGAATAATGACAGTGGAGCTGAACGCCCTCCTGCTACTGTGTATGGTAAAGATCATTATGGTAGTCACATCCATGATGAGTATGTTATGTGATTGTTGCTCGGTCATTGTTCTGTGTATAGTTTGTGAGCGCCGACAGTGCGTCCAAACTCCGAGCTTTGCATGTTTGTATTTGGAGCAACACATTTGGGCAACTTGTGGACAAACTTGAAAGATGAAGGTGACCCAATGTTATACGGTTTTCAAACAGATAGAAACAACATTATGAATAATAGTATTCTAGTCCGATCATGAGATGTATATATTGTCTGTGAAAGACATGTCTGCGCACTGGAAAAAACAAACGTGTCAACCTGCCACTAGTTGAAGCATTTTGCGACCAACGCATGGCTAAATTGCCTATTGGATAGTTGCGGTCTAAACAGTGGCAACTGTTGGGCGTCTGTTGAAAGCATCCAAAGAACATACGATGGTACAAGTGCTGTGACCAACCAAACATGCACCAGTGAAGGTCGTCGCTAACGCATCAGAGGTTCAAGTAGTCAACGTGCATACGAACTGTGTCTTGCACGTAATAATAAAAAAAAACAAAGACAAGAAAACACAAAGGGTTGCTTCGCAACGAATCAAGCGCACTTACACGGGGACCGTTCACCCCTACGTACTAACAAATCGACAAAGCAGGACGTTAGGCAATTTTGGCAATAAAATAGCAATTAAAGAGCCTGTTTGAATCTAGCCAAGCTAGTAATTGTCACTCCCTCCATCCAGAAATACAACATATTATGACTTCTAAACCTTGTAGTAAAAAAATAAAGCATTCCGTTTGGTGCTCGATTTGATAAAGTTTGTTAAGAAGACAATAATTTGAGAAGAAACTTTTTAATTGGAAAAATCTATAGGTACATACATCATTCGAGTATTTCATTAAATTAGGTCCCTTTGGTTCTACTTATTTGTAGCGGTTATGGGCTGTAGCTGCTAGTTTCTTGCCTGGGTGAACAGTATTTCCTTGTTACTTTTTGCAACACCAGAAGCAAGTGCTTCCGAACAGGCCCATTAAAAGTTTTTGGAATGCATTTGATGGAGGGAGTAGCTGCTAGCTAAAAGAAACCAACAAATAGCCTTTTATTAGCGGATTATTAGCTAGCTGACCTATTAATTAGTTGAGTCCCTTTTAGATCCTCTTGTTATTTTTTAATCAAAGTATAGACACAAACACTCATACATATACATACACTCACACCTATGAACAAATATACACACTCCCCTCCCCTATGAGCACCTCCGAGAGGTTGAAACTGAGAGCCGGTAGATCTTGAGATTGACGAAGTCACAAAAAACGTCTCGTTGTCGTCGAACACATCACCGTACTAGAAAGAACAACATCGTTAAAGCCTAAAATAAATCTTGATAGTAGTTACCTAGTAAGACACAACTAATAACTTTTCATCTCTTGGCTAAATAGTTTATTTTAAACTATTAATTTGTTAGGATGATTAATTGGATCCACGAGCTAATTTTAACAGTTAATTATAAGCTCATGGGACAAAACAGAGCCTAAATAATATGTTTACTATGTGCCAAACATAGCTAGGCATATATGGGGTTCGACTATAGCAGGCCATTCTGGTCGTTTAATTTTGTGAAAGAAAAAAGAAAATATATATAGCGATCGAATTGAATTTCCTTGTGTGATTCCATTGAACCGTGTATTATTTCCATTTTGCAAGGTGATAGCAGGTTGGCCAGGTCGGTCTCCTGCTAGGTTGGTGGGGAGCAAAAGCAAAGCTGTAAACGAATCGTATCGTTTGAGCCCGTCATGCTGAAGATGGTGGAAAGGTGGGCCATCCAATGACAAAAAAGCGTGAACGCACGGCGTTCTCCCCACGGACGGCGCCAACTGTCGGTGCGAAAAGTGATCAACAAGTACATATTTGTAGTTTTGTCGTGCATTGTGATCGGATGTGGTCTAGCACTCAATGACACATGGCTTATACTGATTTAGGCAACGTGCCATACGTCCAGTTTTAGTCGGTCGGTGACTTTATTCCTGAGCCCAGGTGCTCAAAGTTTGCTGTGAGGTTACAAACGAGTGGGAATAAGAATGGGGTGTTAAAGGTCCGGTCGGGCTCTAGACCGAAGGGCCAAGAGTGACGGGAGCTCCAACGTACGCTAAGTATTAGAACGTATGCTCCCTATAGCTTTAGAGCTTTAGAGTTCTAAAGCCTAGCAGAGAGAGAGTCTGAATGAATCGTCGTCTTAGGAGAGAGCGCATCCCCTTTTATAGGTGAAGGGGACGGCCTTACAAATTAGGAGAGAGAGAAAGATAGTGTGTGTTTTTTCTAGTCTTGTTGCCCACGCCGTCGGGTATAAGACAGTTTTGTCGGCGTTCACGATACTATTGACGCCCAGATGCATGTGACAGGCTGTATCGTGTTCTTCTGATATGACAAATGTTGGCGTCTACCATACTGTAGGATAAACATCGACGCCCATAATACTGTTCGTGTTCTGACATATCTAGAAGGTTGCAGGGCACCCTTCTGACATGTCCTGGAGGTACTGTCCTGCAGACGTGCAGGGTACGGTCCTCGGTATTGCGGTTGAGTTGAACATCTTGCCTTATCTGTTCCGCCTGATTCTTGGACCTCACCGAGCGAGCGTCCCCGGTCGATCGTTCCCGGTCGGCTCCGACCGTGTCAGTCGGAGTCGGAAGCCGTAAGTTGAATAACCAAATGCACGTACTACAGCAGCGACGAGTATTACATTAATCATGCCGTGCCTGGCGTGCGTGGGATATATATAGTACTTATATGATGATGATGGCTCGACCATGATACGATAGAAACGGATGTTGGATGATGGGTCGTCCAGCTAGGACGCGCCATTCTTTATTCAGAGTGAGTTAAGCAGGCGCGTGTTCTTCTCATAAACAATACATAAATTGGTTCGGTGGTCGATCGGTTGCGTGACAAGGAGAAAGGTCGTCGTCGTCTAAGTCCTGCAAAACAAATCAGGAACGATGGGTTGACCTATCGATGAGGCGGAATCAACGCTACTGAAAACAAATCAGAGGAGAGAAGGTAATAATCAGCTGGGTTCATCTCATTCTCATGTACAGTTAGTTGCCGGTTGGTTGCAACTGCACTACATGCGCAAGCGTGGAACTATTGTTAGCCAGAGAGAGGGCGCCAATAATTAATGTTTGGGTTTCTAACCTCCATGTTTGCTGCGTGCTAAATGTTGGGGTTAGGTGAAATTGCCTCATCAGTCGATTTATGCAGTTAAATAAATACGGTACTGTAGTTAGCTAGGTAGATTTATTGAGTTCTAATCCCAGCTCCTATATATATATGTATAGAGTATTATAGTCTAATAAAAAATAACTGTTTTTCACTATATATAGGGTGTTTGATTTGTGGAATGAGGTACTTCATCATCATATCAATTTTTAGTTTTTTTTGTTTGGTTCGTGGAATAGAAGAATGAGTTATCCATCGTCACTTTGTTTCTTGTAAGCTAATATTAGTATAAAGAATAAGGTCATTCCACTAAACTTAAGTAATAGACTCATGATGCATCACCCTATCTAATGGGTTCATTTCTCAAACGAAACTCTGCATCTAGAGCTCCGGAGAGAGGTGTTAGATATATATTAACTAATTGAATTGTTCATTCTTCTCTGATTATCTTTGAGATATATAGCACAATTAATTAAAAGACGTAGTAAAAGGGTACTATATGGGCGTCAGAATCTCTAATTCCCCACACCCCCAATATATATGGAGCCAAAAATGGTCGTTGAGACAGTGACGTTAACAGCCTATTATTCTCTTGGTTGATCATCACACTTGTTTAAGTTGCCTATAATAATAAAATAACCACAGACAAATTATTAAATTAAACCTATTATTCTCTTGGTTGATCAGAACACGGTTGATAAAGTTGCCAATAATAATAAAATAGCCACAGATAAATTATTAATTAAATTAAACAATTACCAGCCAGCCATCAAAACTAACTGATCAACGTACGACCTGAACAACCAATCATCAACTCCGGGCCCACGATGATCCGGCCGGTCAACACATCACATTTCTCACACTCGTCTCTAATCAAACAATTCAATCGATAATTGCGTTACAAGTCAACCGCGCGGATGCCGTTCAATATTTCCACTACATAAACAACTACTACCGCAATGATCCATGTGTTTGGCGTGGTTTCAACTTCACAAGTACGATTGATAATTACTCACGTTGTTTTTACTCCGAAGAACACTTTGCTAGATACAAAGTGTCAGTTTTCTTGCGGAAAGATACACTGATGCACGTGGATCAATTAACAAGGATTGTCATCTTATTCACTACTAGATGCTTTTTACAATGAAGATATGTTCAAGGTTAAAAGAAATAGGATATGCTATATTTCAGGTGCATGAAATATAGCATCGACAGCTAACAACCATCATATCTCCATCCAACGGTCCAAATCTATTACCACAAATCACAATAAATAAATTATATTTTTTTCTATGAAAGGATAAGGACAAAATTGTTCAGGCGCCTGAACTATAGGAGACGTGTAAAAAAATAGAGTCGAATTGGATCCATTAGTATTAATTGTAGTGGGTAAAGTTAGTACCATTGGATCGAAACATCCTAGCTAATAGCAACTAGGAGTAATAGCTAAGAACAAATTATCAAGCCAATAAAAAGTGATTGTTGACGCAAATCTGGTCTCGCACTCAAATGGCTAGCACACATAGATCGCACAAGGATTGGTTGGGTTGCTCTAGAGTCAATTTGCAGGGATGCCACAAAAAGTGGCCTAACCAGTTTCAGCAGATTCACCTAGAAACGCCTTTTGAGAGCGACTTGTCAAGGAGGCGCA